TTAAGATATTTTAAGAGGTCTTCCTTTTTGACTCAGCCTCTGTTGACAGCTCTGTGGTACTAAACAAACTATGCTTTTTGGTTTAAGCTCACAGTGTATCAATGTACACTTATCTGGTGTAAACGAGAACTCAGCTTTAAGGTGCTGTTAGGTCCGGAATGACAAACTACTCTTGTTGTGCAAGGGAAGTGCTTAAGGGGATCATCTTGAAGCAGTAATCAAGTGTTTTCCTCAGTTTTTCCCTTCTAAAATAAGCACTTGCATAACATTCAACAGCAGGACCTTCAGGGTTACAGTCTTCCCTATTTCCCACAAACAGAGATCAACATGCTTTTTTGAGCTGGTTCCTGTGTGGTAAATGGAATTTTGTATTTGACTCTGCAACATCATTGGGAGTCAAGCAAAATGTAATTTGCACTAATATTTGGACAGTCTTCTCTTCACCTTACCAAAAAAAAGTGCTAGATAGTGCTAGATGAGTTGAAAGGATGGTACGTGTTTTCCTATAGGTCAGTCGGTTTGGTCTGATGCCTTACATCACCGAGGTCCTGTTCCCTCTTAGTTTTTTGTTAAACTGAAGTGGGTGTTTGTTCTGGGGAATTCAGCAATTGATGTCACAGCCGCTTATGAGAAGCAGAATGGACAGTGGGGAGTACCAAGTGAAGTTCAGATCAACATGTAACCGTTAAGGCTGGAGCTGTTGAAGATCAGCTTAGATTTTCTTTAATCTGATGACACTGATTTTGCAGCATGGTTTTTAAACTAGTCCTCAACCAAGCATGTTTTGATTTCAGATAAATCCCTTTCTGGCTAAGCTGTTGGAAGGCAGGCATGTTTTGCAGTTCCCTGTTGGAGTATGTGGCTCCGTGACACCTGCAAGTTGGACACCTCCTGATTTGGAGGAGAGGCTGGAACGTGTACCTCAGGCTGTGGCCACTAATAGGATTTCTTATATGGTCTGGAACACCAAAACCTCTTAAGCCCCTACAAGGGAAGCAGCACTTAACATTCAAAAGAGTCATCCTCTGCAAAGCATTGCTGCAGTGTAAGAAGGGTGTGTAGTGGTGGCTCTCTTGGCTCCTACAGGCTATGGAGGAGTGTCTTTATAAAGAGCTGTTGTAAATTTCTAGTTAACTGTGGAAGAGGCTGTGAGGTGTGGGGAGGATCCTGACTGTGAGCTTTGGGGCAGCAGTGCCCAACGGGAGAACTACAAAATAGCTGAAAACTCCAAGTGGCATTTGTAAAGAGTGCACTCGCTTAACTCCTGTTAGTGGGAGGCTGAGATCTGAACTGTTAGTGAGACACTGATATGTTATCCTGTAATCCTTACAGGGTAGGACTCTCTCCTTTGGATGGCCTGAACCTTAAGTGTGAAAAGTAAAAGGTGTTGGTAAAGGGAAGCAGGAGTAGTGCAGGAGATTGATCTTTGAGTAACTTCTTGAGTGTTCAGTCATTTAAGGTCACCCTCTGCACATGCACCAAAATGCCATCAAAAGTAGTTGCACCCTTTCTATGAACCTATGTAACATGTGGGTCCTTCAACAATCCTTAAATTAGCCCAGTTTTCCTTGTAATCCATAGCCAGACCAAGTTCTTTCTCAGAGGATGCATAATTCACTGCTGTCCTGGTTACTTCTGTGTAATTTCTGGGATGTTTGTTTCTTCTCTGAACTGGCACCAGCACAATAAAGCAAGCACTGAGATCTTGTTTTCATGCTCGGTAATAAACCGTGCATTGTTCATATGTATCCTTACCAGGTTCTGACTCTTGGCAATAAAAAGATGTTGAAACATCATGGCTTTTTCAGGTATCCGTTGAAAAATGAAAAGGTAGCCCTAAAGACACGAGCTCTTCTGATGTGAGTTGTATCAAAGAATAAACTATGGATTCTTCACTCAAGTCTGCTTGGATTTTTGTCACACTGACACTTGTGCTATGGATAAAGTAGTGGGGTAAGTGGTAGAAAGAAACACCTGCAAAGCATGAGTGGCAGAGATGGTCCTGCGGAGGTGCTGTGAGGTAGCCTTGCAGCAGTGGCTCTGCATAGGCTGTTCGTGATGCGTATTGCTTCAGGTGTCGGTCCCGCATATGCCAAGGTACACAAGAATTCCCTCCTAGACCACCAGGGACTGTTCAGTGTTTTAACAGGAGCCATGCTTTTGTTAAAACTTGCACAATTTAATTGAGTATGATTAATATTGCAGACTGTTTAAAATCCTGGTGCTGCTAACCACTGGGCAAAATTGCATAGACTAAACTAGCTCATTAGATGTTCAGCCTTCTTAAATTCTGAAGGTAGAGCAGTCTTTCCCTTGGTATATTAACTTTTACTACAACAACGAATAAATAGGGAAAATGGGGTCTTTTTTTAAGGTAGGGAACTTGCTACTACTTGTCAGATATTTTTTTTTGTATTTTTTTTTTTGTAAAGTAAAACTGGGGATCACAGGAATAAACTAGCCTTCTGGCAGTGTGAATGTTGCATTTTAAACTTTTTGGGAGTGCTGTTTAACCAATTTTACAGAATAAAATGGCAATGCTTAATTCTATGCTTAGCACTTTGGAGTCTTGCTGAGGTATCTGACTTGTACAAGTACTCAGTAATGCACTGAGCTAGTTTTAAGGTTGCATGGCAAAGGCACAGTACTTATGCAGAAAATAATGCACTTTCCAAAAAGGCATAAGTAGAACACCCTTATGTAAGTGTCATGCTAAATTGCTGAAGGCCTAATCGCTGTCTTAGACGACTCTGAAGGCCTCAGTACTCTCTGCTTTGAAGCTAAACCATTTCCTTAACCCTGCTGCTGGGATGTGTATCCATACCTTCAGGTCAGGCAGCAGGGTTGGGGCCAGTGCCACATTCCCACTGCACAGGCAGGCAGGTTGCAGAGAGATTATCTTACAATAGCAAACAGGCAAAGGGCTTTTGTCTTCAGTATATGAAAATAAAGCAGCACCGTCCTTGTTCTCTCTTCCGCTGTGCCTGCATCCCTCTGTCCCTCCTTCAGGTTTGGAGAGTTGGGCCGTGTGGGTGAAGGCAAGCTGGCTGTGCGCAGAGGTGGGGTCTCATCCCCCTCCTTGTAGAACGTGTCAGTACTGGGGACCAAAACGGTGCTGGCTCATTGCCCAGACTCTTCCGCTTTCAACCTTTGTAAACCCACTCACCAGAACTGGAGTCACTGTTCATACCATTAAGAACCAAAATGAAAGCTGTGAAAAGACTTGTCTCTGTGTGAATTAGCTTAGTAAACCATGTAAAAAAAATGGGAAGGAGGCTTTTGTTTCCTGCACTCGACCAAATCTGGCAACTGTGCTCTTGTTCAGACACGCAGGCTATGAAATGTTGTCTTGCCTTCTGGTGCTGGCATGTTTCTATACCCTTTCATATATCTCTGTATAAATATACTTTGTGCATTGTTTACTATGGAACTAGTATTGATGGAGAAAAACACTTTGAGGTAAAACTGTTTGTAATTCTCTATTAGTGTGTACATTTTTTTTTAAAATGCACCGTTTGTTTACCTCAATTAATTTAATGGAATGGACCAATAAATGTATTAAAAGATGACTCCTTTACCTAGAATATAAAGTTTTGTTTTTTGCAGCCTTCACTGTTGAAATGATGTGTGTGCTTATTTTTCTGGGCTCTCACTATCTTACTGCAGAAGTACCCTTCCCTTAAAATGTTGTTCCGCTGCTGATTTAACTGTAAGTCATCTGTCTGTTGCTGTTGTATGTCTGTTATTACTTGAAAGTGAAGCGTGGAGCTGAGGAAAGGTTGCAAGAGCGTGTGTGTGTGTGTCAAGGGGAACGCGTAGCAGCAACTTCCTCAGAATAAGGGGTAGCATGGTGAGTAACCAACTTCTGCTTGCTGCATCTCTGCCTGGAACTGAAGCTGCCTGATTTGCCTCCAGATTATTTCAGTTACTGAAGGGCTTTTAACTTCCCTTTACTTAGTCCAGGAGCTTGGAAGCCACTTAATCCTTGTTAATTCAATTAGCGTCTAAGTAGACACAATTTAAGCCCTGATCCCTCTGGGGCATGCCAGTCTTCTGAATCACGTTTGGATGTCGCCGGCAACACCTCATGCCACTTGCTAAATTGTATGAGGTAGGGGTTTCACCCAGCATAAATCTGGGAGTAACAAGGTGACTATTACCTGGCATCAGTATCCCTACACCTCTGTAAAGCCTGTAGGAGTTGTCTGCTGCACTTACCTGTTCGTAACCTGTTACAAGAGGAGTACATCCTGGTGGTGTGAGTTGAAATGCCGGTATCAGCTCCTGAGTCATAGGTGTCCTCCCATGAGCTCTTAAAGCACTCTCTGGGGACAGTGGGACAATCTCCCAGAAGTCAGGGGCGTGAACATCTGTTCAGGAGTGTTTTATTGTAGGGATTAATGTCTTAATCTTACATATTTTTTTTATGGTGGTATTTCTGTATTTAGTGGACTTTTACACAACATTGATCAGCTGGGCTGACACATCTTCTGCACCACTTGGAGAACAAGTGTGTCCTGCTGGCAACCATGCAGAGGCGGCTTGTGGACCACTGCTTCATCAGCCAAAGTCACAGAACCGCACTGAGGTTTCCGAATGAACAGACAAGAAGGAACTAATGGAAAACGGATCCTCTGCTTTCCCCTTCGCAGTGAATTATCTGTCTAGAAATGCCCTCTTCATTTCTACCCTGTCCTTGTCACTGTGTGCTATTGCTAACCAGCCTAGCAGGGAGGCAAAATGCTCTGAAGACTGCTGGTGGGCAATAGCCAATGCACGTGGCCTGTGAGATGGTGTACTGCAGAAATACCAAGGCAAACTTCTTTGTCCTGGGTGAGCTCAGTGGCTGAGAGGCCATAGCACACTGTGAAGTGGAAACATAAATGAGATGCTTCCTCTAATGATGGTAACTGCAGGGACTGATGGTCGGCAAACTGTCCGTTTTGGTAGCTCAGAGAGTTGATGATGACCAAAAAATGCTTTAGCAGGTACAGCCTCTGTCACTCAGTCAGAATCTGAAGGGAGCCGCTGGTTGAACGTTGTTTGATGGCCACAATGCTGTAAAGAGCAATAAAAATGCAGTTGAGTGAGAGCTAGCAAGCTACTTCATAAAACTACAGTTTGCTTTTTCCCCCACCAGTTTTTTAGCTTAAATTTTGCTGGGGTGGCTGGAGCTGGCTGAGTTCTCATGTGATTCCTCTGGAGGATCTGGCAGCCTCCCTGTAACTTACTCGAGTACAAGCAATGACATTGGCATCATTTTTCATCTTTCAGCCTTTAAGTCCTAATCCTCGTGTTTGTGCTGATAATGGTGCTAACTTCTATTTGGAGAACATGTTAAAAAGCAGCTGAGTAGTTAGCAGTGACTCACTGTTAAAACAGCAGGGGTGTGCGTAAAAGACGAGTCACTCTTGTGTCTGGAAAACATGAGGAAAGCAGAGCCAGGGTAACGACGGTATGAAGTAGCCTTCCCCACACTCGCAGTCCTGCTGACACCAGGGGTCAAATGTGTTTTGTGAGCCCAGAAAGCCTTCGGTGCTCTGGACGAGGCAGAGCTGATAGTCTAGGAGCTTTCCTTAGAGTTGCTTTTTCTTGCTATCCAAGTCAGTATACATGCTGCCTTTAGACTTTCTACTATTGTTTTTTTGTTTTGGTTTTTTTTTTTTTTTAAATCACAGCAAAACTTCGCAAAAATTTTGCCTGGGATCAGATGTTAGCCTGTCCAGTCAGTACCTGCCTTATATCTGAATGAAAATAGTGTTGCAGGGATTAAACAGTGATATTATCACAATTCACTTTAATTTTGTACTGGCAGTCTTGCTGTTTCTAGTAACACAAGCTCAAGGGTCTTCGGGGGGACAACGGGCAAGGTGAGAATTGGAGGGAGATCCATCAAAAATTTTGGAGGAATAGATGGGGATGCTGTTTCAGCTTTCTCCAAATTAAGCTGGTTTTCTGCCTAAAGCTTGTTCTTGAAATTGTACCTCTCAGTTGCTCTGTAGCAGTACAGTTGGGCAAATTCACTGGATCAGAAAAGTAGCTATTTCCTTCGTTATGTGGTAATGGTTTCTATTTGAAAGGAACACCTGAGGGAGACTCAGGTTATTCTTTTCCTATCACAATGATATCACTTTTCCTATCACTTTTTAAAAAATGTTTTGCTTTGTGTAGGCTTATTCCCTCAGTCTACTTACTAATATTTTTGCAATATCAAGCACTAAATTTGTGCAAAGGCTTTATCCCCTGGGATTATCAGCTCTTAAACTCTGCCAGGTATTCCTCCTACAGCAATTCATGTTACATTAAACAAAAAGAAGATTAAAAACATTGGCTAGATCACTTGCAAGTTTCATTCCTTGAATCTCCTTGATATTTTTCAACTAATTTCTACAAAATTTTTATTTCTCTTTTTCCATTTTTTTTTTCTTTTTAAATTCCTTTTTTTATTTTTTTATTTTTTTGCCATCTGTATTGTACACTTGAGACCTAGAATCAAGAAGCATGGAGAAAATACAGCATGTCCCTTTGGTCTAAACTTTTCCTATTCCTTACCTTAATGGGAGGAGAGTCAGGCAGCCAACTAGAAAAGACAAAATGAAACAGAAGCCGCTGTACCAGTTCAGTGTGTTTTGATAGATCTTGTTGTAGACCGTGGATGTCACTACTCCCGTCGTGACTAAAGACAACTGCAGCAGGACAAACACTTTACCTGTAAAACAAGAACATCGTTTGGTACCGGGGAGAAAAAAAAAAAAAAAAGCTGTGGTACCTCCCTGAAGAATCCAGGACCACCGGTGCATGGAAGAGTGATGTGGTCATTACTTCACAAGTGCTAGATGGCATGAGCTTGTACCTACTGCTGTTCTGGACCAGAATTAAATGACTTTTCCTTCTTTTAGGCGTAGGACAAAAGAACAAATGAGAAAACTCTCTGCTTAAACAGTCCAGATGTTGAGGTAGCTGCTTGGAAAAGCAGCACTAGACTGGGCAGTAAGTGCTCCTTTCTGTAGGATGTGGCAAGGTAGTCCTGGGCTAACATCTTCAGGATGGGAGAGATTTTAGTCAGGGTCTGCTTCTGCCCTAGGCCAGATGAGTGGTCCCCTGGGTTAAAATAATGCCTGAAATCGGGAGGTGCGTGTGATGTATGTGATGATCAGGGCGGAGGAAAGGCAGAAACTGAATCCTAGGTGAACTGGCTTTTTTGCTGAAGTGCACCCTTCTGTTTCTGCCATGGTAAACGGGGGAAGGGGAAGCAACCCAGCCCTGCCGGGGTGTGCAAAGTAGGAGCTGAGCTTACTGCCCTGGCAGCCCTCTCCAGCTGCACAGCACCAGCGGCCACCACTGAAGGAGACAACGCTGCTACCAGGAGGCGAGGGCTGCTCTGCTGCGTGATCCTGCTCGAGAGCCGGTCTGCCGCTGTAATCAGGCTCAGCCTGTATGGCTCGTGATGGAGGTTAAAAACAACATTACGATTAATAATAACGATTGATTTGGAGTCTGAGCTGTGCTATTTGTGGCAGGTGGGTGAGTTGGCTACAGAGTACATTGAGGAGCACAAGCAGTAGGAGTGAACTGGTGACAGACCGCTGTGCTGTTCACACGGCAGAAGGGAAAAGGATGCAAAGGATGGCTGTAGGAACGTGTTTGGAGGAGACATGAGCAGTCGTGAGCCTGAGGTGCTGTTTGAATGCATGGTCCGTCCTGTCTATTCTGTCTAAATCCAGCTCATTGAGGTAAAAACGGCAGCCTTCAATACAGTGTTTTAAAATACATATATTTTACTATTTCCTAATACATATTTTAATGGAAAAGAATTTCTGCTCCTGTTTTCCAAAAAGGGCCGATTTTTATGCAAAGATTATCCTTTGTTAGTTAAATTATGGTCTGAGAGGAACAAATTGCTAGGTAAGACTTGGAGACATGCTTACAAAGCACAGCTGAAAAAACATGAAAGAAATCCATCCTTCCCAGAACTGGAAGCAAAAGAAGCCAAATATAAATGGTCTTTCTCAGTGCTTCAACCTGTCTTGCTTCTCTTGGTTTTCCCTGGAGCACTTGTTTTTGAGCATTGTCTCAGATATTTTCCCTGCCCTTCAGCTGCACACTGATACTAGTCTTTTGAAGTACTTGAAATGCTGAAAATTGTATGGATAAATGATGAGGCAACCAAGGAGAAGTTCGGATGTGACAATCTTGTCCGGCAAGTTTCTCTGCTCCTCCCTTCCCATTTGTGGTACTAGCTGTTCTGGTTTTGTTACGCAAAGCACAGATTACAGCAGTAATTTGCCTTTCTTTTTGTACCTTAGGCTGAATGGAGGGATTTGAGGTTGTTTTGATCAGTAGGGTAACCAAAATACTTACCATAGGATGATCCTTCAACGTGCTTGGATAACATCGACCTGATGGTTGGTAAGGGGATGAGGGCAAAGAGCATCACTGCCCGTGCTGCAACGCGAGGAACATGCAGTTATCGTCAATACCTGCTCCTTATCTCCCAACACAACAAGCACTGCTTTTGAAAACTACATGCCTCTGGCTTGGGCAGGACATTTGTTTCATATTTTCTTGTCCACTGAGTACCAGAGAGAAGTACAAATCTTTGGCAGGAGTGTAGGTGCTCACTTCATCCAAGCGATGGGTGAATAAGCCACCTACTGCTCCCACTAGCAAAGCAGAGGTACTTTCCCCAAACCAGACATGGTCTCTTGGTCTCAGCCTGAAATTCCAGCATAGATGGAATATAGCACTGTTCTTTGAGAGAGAGAGGCCGATGATTTGAGTCTAACTGGCAGAGAGAGCACCCCACGCTACAGCAACGGTACCTTCATAACACTATAGCCGTTTCCTATCTCAGTGCTTCTGGCTTGCATTATTTTAGGCTTTCTTTAGTGTGGAAACTTTGAGGCAGCTAGAATTGCCTTCCTATCAGCGCAACCAACCTCAGTGAAGACTTGGTCTGTGTCTAGTGTACCCAGGTGTTTCTGCAATGTGGGGAATAAGCATCCTTCACACTGTGTAGCAGCACGCATTCATGATGGACTTAACATTAAACAAGCACTGCTTAATTTTAATTTTATATCTTTTGTTCCCCAGCCTGATTGCCTAAACAAACAAAATCTTTTAAAAATTTCACTCGGTGTTTGGCTAAATCCCTTTAGAATAACTTTCTTTGATTTTCAATTTCTCATTCCCTGTAGGGGCAGACAGAAAAATCACTTCAGGCCATTTCTCTTAGATCTTTTTCTCACTTTCAGTAGCAAAATCTCAAAGCCATGCAACACATGATACTCTGTTTGTCAGATATGAATCATCATTCTCACTGCCACAATGGGTACACGGATTGCAGTTCTTGGGGGTTTTTTTGTGTGTTCCTGCAGAGGCTACCTCCCAACAATAAACTTGCCTTTCCTTCGCTATGGGACACTGCCCCATCTATTGTTACCTGTGGCTTGGTCATTTATACATAGTGTAAGATTTATACACTAGACTCTCATGATATTTTAGGTGCTAAAGCAGCTCCAATGTTTCACTATTCAGTTTCCCATCGACCACAAATGCCTTAATGTAAGAAAAATAAATCATATCTTAATAGGAAACCTTTGCCGAAGTGTTTCTGTTGCAGCTTAAACCTTACCTCACACAAAGCAAGTGCTTCCCATTAATGCAGCGATGTGGTCTGACTAGTACAGGTAGCCAGCAACAGCTCTCACTCCCCTGCGGCGTGAGCATTGTTCCCCTCCTCAGATCCTGGCTATGACCAAGTGATGAATTACAAGTCAACCAGCCTTAAACTAAGCCTTGGCAGGAGTGTATGCCTCCTCTGGATATTGTAGGGAGCTGAGCATAAGAGTACAAGGTGAGATGTGGGGAGATGGGAATGATAATGAAGCCCTCCTGGGAATCACTCCTTTGATGGTCTGCTGAGCTCCCTGCTCTGAAACTCACAGTGAAGCAAAGCAAAAGCCCTTCTCCTGGCACTGAAACACCCCAGCCCCTTTCTCAGGGTGCACTCGCTCACGTGAGCGGCCGTTCGACTCACCGATGTAGAACAGGAACGTCCACCGCACGAAGGCCATGATGAGGCTGCCAGCGCTGAAGGATATCACTCCGATCATGATCATGGTAATGTCCCTCAGGTATTTGGAGAACACAAATACCCCTAGGAAGCTGGTGATGAAGATCACGTACCCAGCAGCATTGCCGTGGCCAATCTCTACGGCATTCCAACTTAAAGGCTCCCTGAGCAAGAAGAGCGGGAGTACGTTCATTGCACCAACCACGGCAAGGTCATAGAGGATTGCTGCCACAAACAGCATGATGATGATGAGTTTTGAGGGGGATACTAGAGTGGATGTGGTGCTCTCCGAAGGTTGGGAACTCCCTGATGCTGCTGCTTCTTTGTGGGCTGGTAGCTTGCTGCCCACCTCCTCTGCACTCTTGGCTTTGTCTGGGCAGGAAGCTGCTGGCTTAGGGACTGTCAGGACAAAAACGCTGTAGAGGAGGCAGAAAGCATAGCAAGCAATGCTGCAGCTCACCAGCACAGTGCCCTCTCGATAGCGGTCACTGAAGCCAACAAATAGGTAGCCAGATGCCATGCTTCCTAGAAAGCCAGCGAGGCCATACACCAGCTCAATAATGATAAGGCGCAGAGACCTCCTGCTCTCGGAAGACCCCAGGGACCCCAGAGCCATGACACCTGCCCAGAGCGTGGTGAAACCACCCGTCAGCCCGTTGAAGGCAGCAGCCCCGTACATCACCTCAATCGGCCAGCCCAGCAGGATCAGGAGAAGCAGGAGAGTTTTGGAGCCCAAGTAGCCAAGAAGAGAGGAGCAGATGGGGATCTTCCGATGAATCCTGTCCCCCAGCTTGGACAAGCCATAGGCTGACACCAGTGGGCTCAGGCCCAGGACTAGGTTGTAGATGATATAAAAATTAGAGACAGCTTTCTGCTGAGCATCTTCCAGTGCATGGGAGGGAGCAGTGGTGTTGGTCTGGTTGTAGTAGTTCTTCACCACCAGCAGCAGTGCCGTGTCGTAGAAGGCACTGGCCACATCAGAACCTGCAACTACCGGCTCAATCCATGTCCTCATTGCTGTCACCCCCACCATGCTGCCGGCGACCACCTCTTCTTGGGAGAGCTGTTTTCAGGGCGCTTGGGAGAGCTGTTTTCAGGGCGATGCACGGGAGGGAACGGCTCTTCAGAAGCTCTGCTCTGGAGGCATGCTTGGAGAGGAGCAGCTGAGGAAAAAACAAAAGGTCATCCAGGCTGCGCAGAGTCAGAGTTGTGCAAGAGATGATCTGGCTGGGAGAGTATTTGCACCTCGCCTTGCTACGTATACACGCGCACGCACATCCCTGCACTGCTCTCATCTGCTGCTCATGCACAGGAGGCTTTTGTACAGCCGGAGAACGCCCCGCACTCGCCGACTGCTCCTCTTCCTGGTGTGGTTTCAACAGAGGTCAGATGACCCAGGGGAATTTTGCTCTCCCAGTTTAGGAAGTGAAAATACCCTAATCAAGTAATTGCTGCAATTTGGGGAGGTGGTTTGTTTTTCATTTGTTTTGTTTGGGTTTTTTTGGTTTGTTTTTTTTTTTTTTTTCCTTTTGGCATCCTTCACGTGTCAGAGGACTCTTAGTGTGGCTGCGGGTGCAGGGGATGGGTGTGTGCTTTTTTAGTCAGGTAATTTGTGAATTCCCCTTACCGCCAGCTCTTTTCCCTTTCTTCTACCCAAATATGTTGTTGGCTTTTTTTGCTCTTACCTGCTCCCGCCTGCCCTGCTGCTGCGTCGTGCCCCTTGTATCATTGCTGTTTCAATAACGCAGTTGGGAAATTATGCCACAGAGAAATTAAAAGGGAAAAAGCCTATTTTTGGTAACCTGCCTCCCACGGAAGCCACTCTGCCTGCTGCATCCTTTGGCTTTACAACGTGGGAATTTCCAAGAGGTGGAGAAAAGTCCCAGTTTATCCAAAGGCACCGGTGACCGCTGTGCCCCAGTAATCAGCCAGCTGAGCTGGAGGCTGAGGTGGGTGAGAGCCCACCTTCAGGGGGTCATTTTCCAGTCCCAGCTCTTCGGGTCAGTGGCAGTGCCTCTCTGCAGGCGCTGACGCCACACGCAGCTTTGCAGCTTGAAGTCAGCCTCTGATTTTGCTGCTTCCTGAGGGGGTCAAGCGAAGCCACCCGCCGCAAGCAACTCGGGGACCCTGCAGGGAGGATGGTGTGGCTGGCCAGAGGCACAAGAAGCTCTTGGAGCCGGATATGGTGCAAGCAGGCTGCCAGCTCCAAGGAAGATGCTTGCGGTCCCAGCTGCAGGAAATACTCGGAGGATATTTGGCAGCCTCAAAAATGCTAACTTAAATGAAAATGATCTCATCCTGCACTGGTTTAATGAATCATACCAGGCAGAATAACAACCTGTTCTAGGAAGATTTATGATGATTACTTTAAAAAAGAAATTAATGATTAATTTGCAAGAACAATGTTAAAACCTCCATCTGTTGCACTCTCTATTGATTCAGGTGACATTTACTCAATGCCTGTGTACTCATGGCTCAAGAGTTTCATATTTTCACTCTTAGTTCGGTTATGCAGTAATTTTTGTGTTGTATTTCGATTCAAGGAAAAAAAGTCCCAAGAACTAACCAGGAAAGGAGTGGGGAATTGTCTGCTAGAATGATTTGCTGCTAGACAATTTCAATTTCAACAGTTTGTTTTTTCGTCAGGCCAAGAGACTCCTAGCCAGCTGTAAAATATAATGTGGGTTGTTCCAACAGTTGGCTTTTCAGCTCCCCCAGATTTTCTGCACAAGGTGTCTAGTTTCTTTAGTTTTTATTCAGAAGTGGGACAAATCTTTTTCTCCAAACCCCGGAGCATTTCCAGAGGACGGGAATTCCAGACAGCCTTACTAAAACCCCCAAAGCATCAGCCTGTGACCCGTTTAAGCAACAAATGCAACCCGAGGATTTGCCACGTTTCGCTTCACCTGGGGAGCCCTGTCTCTTCCACCAGAGGAGGAAAGATAAATGACTTTGCCCCATTCAGGCCTCAATTTGTCACATGTGTTATCCTGGAGTGCAGAGGTACGTTACAGCCCCTGTGCTTGAGACACCGCAGATCTGCTCAACTCTTAAATAAGGGACACTTTCTTGCACACTTTGTTGCATATACAGGCTGCTTGGCTTATTCATCTGACACTCTTGACATTTAAGTTATACTGCGTTATGCTTAATGCTGTTCAGGCCTGGATAGCTAATGAACTTTGCCATTAGTGATCTCATTAATTACGTATATATTTCCAGGCTATTCTGAGTGTCTATTCACATTAAATGTACTTTTTAGAACTGGTTCGTGTGGAAGGGTGTAATTTCACAACAGTAACTGCAAAACAGTGAGCACTGAAGTCAGAGTTTAACCCAGGCAGTAGAGTATTTCCCACTGCAAAATACTTTTCATGAATACCATATTTATTTGATGCCACAAAGACTTCAAAATTACTATTCTCTAGCATCAGCTTTTCCGTGGGGCCCAGTTCTCATATTACTAATATTTATAGGGACATTTGCATCCACTTTAAAAGACGTTTGTGTGGCATAAACACCATAGAGTCTTAAGAGAGTGGCCCTTGACATTTAAGAAAAATGCACCTACAGAATCACCGAGACTAGTCTAAAAGCAAAAATACACTGGTGTAGCCTGCTGGAAAAGGAACACATTGTTTTAGGGCATCCCTCTCTAGACTCTTCTTGTCTGAAGGCCCACTAGAGGCCAGGTCAGCACCACGTTGCAGCAGCTCTTGGACATTTCTCAGTCTGGCCAAATAAAGGTGTTTAATATCTCCCTCTGGCGACATTATGCATTCCTATGCAGAATCGTGTTTTCTTTTTTTAAGCCATTTATGACAGTTACATCACTTCTTCTTTGTGAAAAGGGTTGTTGTAGGGATTTCAGTATTCTGGGGCAGCCGTGCTTGGCAGATACCAGCATTTTGGAGCTTCGTCTTCAGCACTCCTCATCTGAAAAGGTCCTTTTGACATCCAGGACTGCAATCCAAGGCGGGACCTCACTTGCATAAGCCTGCTGGTGCCATCTTTGATTTGCAGTCTCTGGCTGGCAGGACATTTCGCCTCCAAGGTGGTAAACCAGCTCTGTAACTCCTCTTTCTTGGTACATGCAGATCGTTCTGAAACATGCTGCAGCTTCGTGGTAGTGGCAAGGTGGCGAAACACGACTGGGGGCTGGGAAGTGCCCGTGTCTGAGCCTGGATGGAGCTGTGGTTGCATTGCAGCACCAGAGAGAGGGAAAAATGGTTGAAAACACTGGGGAGAAGCATCTATTTTGGCGATGACCTGTTTTTCTTCGGAAAAATATGTCTCTGTCATAA